AGGCCAAAGCTAGGAGCTAGAAGCTTCCTCTGGGTCTCCCATGTGGGTGCGGGTGCCCAAAGCCTTGAGTCATCCTCTGCTGCTTTCCCAGACCATTACCAGGGAGCTGGATTGGATTTGGAGCAGACAGAACATGCATCAGCATTCATTCATCACCACCACATCAACCCCATCCCACTCTTCGTAAAACAGTGACCCCCATGTTCCTCCACTCAGAGTGGTTTGCTGAGGTTTGGCCAGAGCAGTATAGACTCAGGGAAGGCCTCAGCCACCTCTAGCTTCCTGAGAAATATGATGATGATAATGTTGGTGATAATGATAATGATAATAGTGGTGGTGATAATGTTGATGGTAGTGATGATGCTGGTGATGATGATTGTTATAAATGGACATTGGACTTGATCCTTGGCATCATTTTTATTCCCATTATTAATAGACTCTGAACTTCACCACATGCTTTTTCTCCAACCCCAGGATGCTCTTCTTCTTTGCTCTGTCTAGGTGGTGAGTTGGCCTGCAGGCCACCCTGTGTCAACTCGCCACCACGATGGTGATGATTACCGTTTTCAGACACCAATGGGTCCAGATAGCTAATGCTGTATCCAGAATTCTTTTCATCCATTCTTGCAGGTGATATGGGCCTATGTTTTTCCGCTCCAGACCTTGTCTGGTTTTAAGGCAATAATTAAGATCACACCATTAAATGAATCGTTTGGTTTTTTCCGTTTCTCTATTTTCTGGAATAGCATTCATAGGATTGCGACTGTTTTCTCCATAAATGCTTTGTGGAACTCAAGTGTAAAACAAAATGAGCCTGGGTCTCTGAAGAGAGGAACTGGCTGAGGTTTCAATTTCTTGACTCGTTACGACTCTGTCCAAGTTTTCTATTTATTCTTGGCCAATTTCTCACTTTCCTGGGAAAGCATACGATTGACCTAATTTTTCAAATTTATTGGTGCTCCCTACTGTTTCTTAGAAATATTGTTTTACTATTTTTAAAAAGCTATCATCTCACTTTCCTTTCTCATGCAGCCCCCTGTGTAACTACATTTTCATCAGTGAGTCTTGTCAGTGCTTTTCTATCTTATTTATCTTTTCAAAAGGCTTGTATTCTATTTGCTCAACTCTTTGGTTTTGCTTGTAATGTGCTGACATTCTCTTCCTCCAGGACCCCTTTACTGCTGCCCTTCCCAGCTTCATGTGACAGGTGCTTAGCGATCTTACAACTCGTGTCTTCTAAGCAAAGCACCTGTGGCTATGCCTTTGCCCCTCGTTGTGGCTTTACCTGTGACCACGTGGCTGACTCGCTCATTGACCTCTAAAGATGCTGCAACTGTCACTACTACTTGGTTTTTCATCCAAAACTTCCGTTTTTTCAGTTTCCAAATGTGCAAGCTTGGAGAGCTTTTGGAGTAAGAAACATTGTATGGTGTTGACTCCTTGGAATTCATGGAGGTCACCTGATGTGTGGTCACTTTTATGAATGTCTACATATACTCAAAGGAACTTCGATTTCATGTTAGGGACAATGTGCTATAACTGCACATGTAGATGTACATTTGAGTTCTTAAGACAGCCATTCGAATTCTCCATACACTTAATACATTTTGTTTACATGCTCTATAAACTTATGAAAGGAATATTTTGGAAATATTCTAATGAAATAGTTCATTGGCCTATTTCTCCCTAAGTTCTACTGCTGTAGAAACTTCTACTACTTTATATATGCACACTTACATAACTTTGAGGCTGTGTTGCTAGCTATCTATTTGCATAATTTTTAATACCTTTGTAATTTTCTTTATTTCTCTTACTGGAATATAGTGTTCCTCTTCTTTCTCCTTATTGACTTTCTCTTGGTCTACTCACTTGCAATTTCTCCCGTTCCTTTATTTCCAAGCCCCCTCTATATATCCCTAGTAGAAAATACATTCCTAAATATGATCATTGTAATCCAATTTATGAGTTGATTATTTGAATTAGGCATTTAATCCACTTACAGTATTTATGTTGCTATTTTGCTGTGAATGGCATTGTCTACTTTGCTTCACATTCCCCTTTCCACACTCTATTTTCCTTCTTTCCACACACGAGGTAAGATTTTTTTTTTCCTCTTCTGGTTTGACAGTTAACCATTCTAGTTCCATGTGCTAATACACAAATATCTACTCACACACACCAACATACCAGTTTCCTCCAGTTACACAGCAAACAGTGTTGACTGCAACATTCTCCTTTAAGCCTCCTTTTTTTCTTTTTCACAATGTTCATGAACTTCTGACTTACAGCCTCATTCATTTCTCTGCCCAAGTTTCTCCATGGAGGCTTTTGTCAGTGGCTTCCTGCTGGGTTCTCTGCTGAGAGATGTACAATGGACATTTAGCCACAAGGTTGGCACGGTAGGTCCAGTCCGGTTTCTTCAGGCAGAAGGTACAACTCCCCCTGCTGCACATGCCTTTGGTTCAAGGATTTCACACTCACCTGGCCAGACCAGTCCAGGCAATCATGCCCAGGCCCATTCCAGCCTGCGCCTCCTGCCTTCAGCCCAGGCCATGCCTCTCCCTGCCCTTCCTGCTCTTTCTCCAGGAAATAGATCCCATAATGGCTATCTTCTGCTCAGCGTACTGGACCTGATGAGTCTGTTTTTCGTTTACTGCTGTACCCAAGGCCCTTGGACCTGGAGCAGGTGCTCAGGAAGTATCTCTAAGAAGAAAACCAAGTCTACATCAATTGTGTTCTTCTTGGAAGCAGATGCCAAGTCTCCATTCCAACACTCTCCCCAGATTAGAGTTTACAATAAGGAAGGCGAAGGTGCATCCTTCAGTCTGTCCCTCTGACCAATCAGCTAAAATACAGATCCCAGGCTCAACTGACCAACTGTCACCAACACTCACATATAGTGGACTAAAATGACAACACCTCACCTGTGATTCCTACCCCAACCCCATACTGTGTTTTTAATCCACCCTAAAATTGATATGAATTCATATGACATACATATGAAGCCAGCATGGCCTATGAGCATCAGTTCGTGTCCCAGCTGCTGCACTTCCAGTCCAGCTCCCTGCTTATAGCCTGGGAAATCAGTGGAAGAGGGCTCAAGTGCTGGGCGCCTGCACCCTATGGGACACCCAGTAGAATTGCGTAGTTCCTGGCTTCAGACAGACCCAGTTCCAGATGTTGCAGCCATTTGCAGAGCAAATCAGTAGATGAAAGATTCTCTCTCTTCCCCCTTGTTTCTACAAATCTACCCTTCAAATAAAAATAATAAAAGAATCCATTAATCTATTAAACATACACACACACACAAGAGGTTAAGTGGGTTTTGCCCAAGATGCAAACCCAGATGTTTGCATTCTGGCCAAGGCACTTCCCACTGAGTGACACAGCCCACGCAGAAGGGAGAGTGAACAGAAAGTGAGAATGAATGTGAAGTCAGCAAGTGTCAGAGAGGTCTCAGCAGGGTGTGGCGGTGCAGGCTTACTGCTAAGTGAAGGGGCAGACACAGATGGGAGGTTTTGCAACACGATGTCTTGCAAATGTGGCTCCTGCAGCTCAGACTTGAACTAAAGAAGAAACAGGACAGAGATTCGGAGGAAAATAAATGTCTTATCAACCCCGCAGAAGACACAGCTGCACACCGGATGGAGTCTTCTCAACAAGACCCACCAAGGGTTTCTCCTCAAGGTGAACCTGCAGGGATCTCTCCCTCTCCCAATGCCACAACCCTGGGAGCTCCTGGACACCCACCTGCAGAGTCACGTGTACTCAGAGCAGCCAAGCTGGAGCTGTGCAACTGACAACCGAGGCTCAGCTGCCCGGGGCCAGTGCCCCAGGGAGAAGACAGAGCCAAGGGCCATATTGGTCATACCCCTCTGGGAACCAGCCAGGGAGTCTGACCGGGCATTCCATTACCAAAGAGACTCCAGCACAGAGTTGATATCCGGAGCACATGGAACCCACAAAACCCAAGAGAGACCAGCTGCAAAGACGAGGATGCCTAGGGCAGCTGCAAGGTCAGGGAGGACTCAGAGAATGCCAACCCTCATGACTGAAGTCAAGGAGCAGACACTCACACACACACCTCCAGATGCCATAGTTCAGGGGCTAGTGTTTGGCAAGCAGCAAAGGCGCCCCTTGGAATGCCCACATCCCGTGTAGGCATTCCGGGGTTTGATTTCCGGCCCTGCCCTTGCCCTCAGCTTCTTGCTAATGCACCTGGGAGGCAGCCAGGGCGAGGATGGAACTCAGGGTTCCTGGTGTCAGCCTGGCTCCATCCCAACTGCTGCAAGCATTTTTGGTGAGCAAATCTGCAGGTGGAAGATCTCTCTATGTCTGTCTCAGTCTCTGTCTGTCTGCCTTAAAAAAAAAAAAAAAACTAAGAGGCCAGTGTTGTGGCACTGCACGTAAAGATGCTATATGCAATACTATATCCCATATGGGCTCAGCTCTGGCTGCTCCACCTCCCATCCAGCTTCCTGCTAATATACTGGGAAAGCAACAGCAGATGGCCCAAGTGCTAGGGCCACCATCCCACATGGGAGACCTGGAAGAAGCTCCTGGTTTCTGGCTTCAGCCTGGTCCAACCCTGCATGTTGTGACCATTAGGAAGAAGTGAACTCATGAGTTAAGGTGTATGTGTGTGTGTGTGTGTGTGTGTGTGTGTGTTTTCCCCTCTCTGTTTACAAACTCTGACTTTGAAATACACAAGTAAATCTCTTTTAAAAAAATCCCTTCTCATTCACGCCAGCTCACTCATTGTCCTAACTTTTTTTTTCTAAGATTTATTTATTTTTATTGGAAAGGCAGATCAGATTTATGCAGGGAAGGACAGGAAGATCTTCCATCAGGTCTCTGCTCTCACAGCTGTCTATCTGGGATAAGCCAGGAGTACCAGGGGAGATTCCTACACACACTCACTCGTACACACACACACACACACACACGCACACACACCAACAGGGCTGGCACCGCTGCACAGGAGCAAGATGGCAGGCGACTTGCTTCCAAGAACATTTATTGGAACCTTTAGCTTAAGCGTGAATGCGGACCAGGGGCCCCCCAGCCACAGCCCAGTGAGACCGACGGCAGCCGAGCACACAAGAGCCAGAGAGAGTGGAGGCCGGGAGCCATCCGTTCCCATTATAGACAACGTCATTAAAAAAAATAAACTTTACAATAATACATTTTCGCTCATCTGTTGGGGGTATTATTCTGATAGTCTCATTTCTTTAAAAAAAGGAAAGAACGGAGAACCACACGATACACAAATGTGGATGTATATGTACACACGGTTAAAGAGACTGTATGTGCAGCTGACTTGGGTCTCGGAGAGAGACTGAGAAAAAGAGAGCAGAGAGAGAGAGAGAAGGGACATGGAGAGGCGAGAGACGCATGTCCACCTGGCAGTCTCTTCTGCAACTCAGCACCCCTTCTCCACCAAGGGTCACCTCCTCCACAGACCCCCAAGAAACCATGACGCCAGCAAAGCTTCATTTCTCTTGGACTTGAAACTTCTGACCACCACTCAGAAGGAGGAGGAGGAGGTGGAAGGGGGGGAAGCAGCACTCTGGAGCAGGTGCCCCAGGCAGGCAGAACCACCCAGGAAGCTCAGGGCACACGGCCCCCTCCACAGGCATCCGTGGGGATCCCCAAGACATACGTAAACACTCCTGGGAGCCCCCCGCTGAGGACAGAGACAGAAGCAGGACCCCTGCTCTATCTAGCAGGTAAGAGGTGAGGATGGCAGACATGGGCTCCCACAGCCCTCTGCCCCCTCCCCAGGGCAGGTGCCCAGCCGGGCCTGTCCTGCCTCAGCCTGCTGCAGGTACAGTCACACAGCCTCTGGGCAGCTTGGTCTTTTGCTTCGGCAGGATTCAGAGAAGAAAATCCCTGGAGCGAATGGACGGTGTTTCTCTCCACCCTGCTTGTCTGTTTGGCTTTAGAAAAAAAACTTCTCCAGAGAAAGAACCTGGGAGAAACAAGGTGGGAAAAAACTTTTGTTGTCGTTGTTTTTGCAAGGTGCATGTGGTGCCCGTGTGTGTCTGCGTATTCTTCCATCCTGTCCAGTGGCAGTTCTTGTCTGTGGAACTTTCCAGAAACTGGACCAACACACAGTTCCCCAGGGAGGGGTGCCTACAAGGCCAGTTTGAGTATCAGGAGCAGGAGGGCGGTCCAGGCAGCCGACGGCCGGGCTCGGCTGGGGCCAGAGTTTGGTTTGATGACCTTGTTGCTCCCCGGAATGATGCTGGTCGTCAGCTGAGTCCACGGCACGAGGAGGAGGAGACAGAGATCCGGAAAATGGAGAGGAGATTGGGAAAAAAAAAAAAAAAGAAAAGAAAAAACAACAGCAGGGCTGCAGTCAGATAGAGCCAGGGACCCAGGCATCCCTCCAGCTGCCCCAACCCCTGACCGTCTGTCTGCCTAGAGGGAGCCTCCTCTGCCCTCTGTTGGCCTGGCTGGGCTTCCTCAGAGTCTGGTTGGCCAAAGGAGGGAGGGAAGCAGCAGGCCCCTCCTTTCCCCTGTGTCTGGGGAGCAAGACCTGTGCACCCCAATGAGAAGGCAAATGCATGAAGACCTCAAAGATAGGCTCGCAGGGTCCCCAGGGACTTGAGTCCTCAGAGGAGAGGGGAGAGCCACATCTCCTCTGCTCTGAGTATCCAAACCCGCCATGCTAATGTGTGTCTCCTCCCTCCGCTCCATGTTCCTAACAGCCCAGAACCAGCGCCGAGCAGAGGCCCCAATGTGCTCGTGGGCGAGAGTAAGAAAGGGCCAAGAGGGCTTCTGCCCCTGACCCACCCCACAGGGGGATGGCGAGGGCCACGCTGCAGCCTGTGCACCTGTCCCCTGCCTGCCCCCCAGCACCTATGCAGGACAGGCAAGGGTGGGGATGTGAGCCTGAGGCGGACCCGAGGTCCCACCCTCGTGCACTCACCTCTGTAAAGCACATGCTCAACTCTTTGGAGCTGTTGACCTTCAGGCCCTGTTCCTGTGGGACAGAAGGCACTGGGTAAGACCAATGGGCAGAGTGACTGTGCACAGGTGGCATCAGGCACAGGGGACATGACAAGAAGCACTGGATTAACCCCACACAGCATAGTCCTGACTCCCATGAGCTCCCAACGGACACAGGTGTAACCCAACCAATGAGCGGTCATCAACGATGGCAGGTGTCTGCACCTGCAGAACACTACATCCTCTTGTCTTTGCCCTGAGCATCATGTGGCTTCCAACAGCAACTCGGCACGGGCTATACTGAATATCATGCAAAACCAAGTGAATGAATGAATGAATGAACACCAGAGACCAGGAACAGCGTCTGAGTCCCAAAAAAAGATGCCAATGAACCCTTGTCTGGACTCAGTGGGGGAGGGGAGCTGTGATTGATTAGTGATACTTGCCACACTGCATGTCAGCCGGGCAACCTTGCCAGGTGCAAGCCATTGGAGCGCTTGGCAAGGAAGGAGTGTCATGAGGTACTGGAGTGGTCAGGTAGGGCCCAGAGAGGCATATGGGGGACATGTTCTGAACAGCTGAGCGGCCCATCACTCTACCATGAACTTGAACTGGAAACTATCTATGTGTTTGTGGCTTGGGACCCGCAAGCCCCCTGCCTTCCTGCCTGTCCGTAGCTCATTCAAACATGCCCAGTGAAATTAAGAACTGTCCAGTGCAGGGAGCAGGCCATCAGATACTCCATGCTGAGTTTGGCAAGGCTGCAGAGGTCAGCAGTGCCTGGGCAGCAGAGCCCTGGGGACAGGGAGGGGCAGTAGCAAGCATGCAGCCCTGTACAGGAGAATCTCAGCCCAAGGACTGGCTCCAGTCTTCATCACAGGCCCCATGAATGCCCACCATGGACCTCAGCCAGCATGTCATCCCATTGAGAACCGTGTCCCTACTGCCTGGCACCAACCAGCCTAATTGCTGTGGCCCCATCTGCTAGCTGGGACTGAGACAGAAGCATTCAGGTTCCCAAGTCCTGCCTGAACCAGCCACCGTGCCTTGCACCCATTTACCACCTTATCCTGGCTGGACCCCTGGCCCGCCCTGATAGTGTCTCCATCTAAATTCCTTTTCTCTCCTTTGGGGGCTTGTGGACCCTTTGGTTTGTATACATGTGCGTGCGTGTGTGTGTGTGCACACGCATGTACACACACACGCAGCCCTCCTAGAACCAGGTTCCCAGACAGAGCCCACAGAGATGCTGAGTGGGGAGGCACAGTGCCACAGGGCCCCCCATGACAGGACCACCACAGGCCTGTTTACCCTCAACAAGACCAGAAGGATGACAAAACCCATGAAGGTGGCCACCTCTTCGTCAGCATGCCCCAGAAACTCCTGGAAGACCTGGATGAGGCCTAGCACGGTGGACTAGGGCCAAAAGTCCTCGCCTTGCATATGCCAAATGTGCGCTGGTTAGTATTCCTGCTGCCCCATTTCCCTTCCAGCTCCCTGCCTGTGACCTGGGAAAGCAGTGAAGGATGGCCAAGGGCCTTGGGACCCTGCACCCAGGTGGGAGGCTGGAGAAGGCTCCTGGCTCCTGGCTTTGGATCAACTCAGCTCCGGCCATTACAGCTACTTAGGGGTGAGTTAGCTGTTGGAAGATCATTCTCTTTGTCTCTCCTTCTTGTAAATCTGTCCTTCCAATAAAAAAATAAAGCTTTAAAAAATGTAGGTGGATGGATGGATGGATACATGAAAGGACAGACAGGTTGGGGTATGAGTGGATAGATGGATGGGCAGATGAATGGAAGGACGGGTGGATGGATGGACAAATGAACATTTGGCAATGTAATCTTAACTATGTCACCTGATCCCTCCAGGTTAGTCTCCTGGGTGTGAAACGAGAGCACCAACATTGTCTGAGCACATTCAATGAGGCAGGCACAGTCTACTAGCACACGACACAGCAATTACAGTTAACAAACTGTGACCATTCCATTTCTCTGGTGTCTCATACAGTACTGCCGTGTAGCAGGTGTCAAACACTCACAAGGGACTGGCTGTCGGGGTGCAATGAGTTAAGCTATGGCTTAAGATGCCAGCATCCCATAAACAGTGCTGGTTTTTAAGTCCCAAGGGTTCCACTTCCGATCCAACACCCTACTAATTGCTTGGGAAAGCAGGGAAAGATGGCCCAAGTGCTCGGGCACCTGTCAGCCATGTGGGAGACCAGAGTGGAGCCCCTGATTTCAGATTTGGCTCTTGTCACCTTTTGAGAAGGGAACCAGAGGATGGACTGACTCTCCTTCCCCCCGCCCCCCACATTGTTCTGCCTTTCAGATACATAAATCTTGGCCCGGTGTGATAGCCTAGCAGCTAAAGTTCTCATCTTTCACACATCAGGATCCCATAGTGGTGCCAGTTCTAATCCCAGAAGCCCCACTTCCCATCCAGCTCCCTGCTTGTGGCCTGGAAAGCAGTCGAGGACAGTCCATAAGCCTTGGGATCCTGTACCCACATGAGAGATTTATTAGAAGCTCCTGGCTTCGGATCAGCTCAGTGCTGGCCACTGTGGTCATTTAGAGGGTGAACCAGGGAATGGAAGATCTTTCTCTGCCTCTCCTTCTCTGTATATATGACTTTCCAATAAAAAATAAAGTTTTTAAAAAACACATAAATCTGAAACAAAAACTACTTGTGAAATGGAACACCTAAATGAACGAACTGGTGATAAATGACCCCCTGCAGCTCTTCCCCACCACCCAGGTTCCCAGACTCCAGGGAAGGCTCTCTGGGGCTGCCTCCTGGCCCCATGCAAACTGCTCCCCACTCTGCTGCTGGCTTCCTGCTATCTCCCAGATCCCACAGCTCACTGTGCACCCTCCCCTCTTTCCCCAAGCTCCAGGCCCACGGTCCTCACCTGGATGGATGTACAGGTGGTGATGACACTGGTCCCCAGGCCAGTGCTGTCACTCAGGTCGTCTGGCAAAGAAGGTGGCTTCTCCACCCGAGGGGCCTGGGTAGCCAGAATGGGGGGACTCTTCGGAGATAAGTTCACATCTGTGCCGTTGCCAAAGGCCTGGATGGCGTTTCCTGGAGTGTGGATGCGAGACAGGCGGATGTAGTGACAAGGGGGCCCTCTACCCATCACCTCTGCACCTGCCCCCACCCTGACCGTACCACCTTCCTCGGAGGAGGGGGCACCCACTGAGAGAAGAGAGCAGCCAGAGGTAGGCTAAAATGGGACAGACACCAGAGCAAACAAAGACTGAAGGATAGAGGAGGGGAAGAGAAGAGTCGGGCAGCGGGCAGTGCCAGGATGGCGAAAACTATTTCCTCATATCGATGCTGCAGCCCCCCTCCTTAGAAGCTTCTCAGCCCCCAGTGCCTGGGCACAGAGCCCGCTGTCTCCTCAGCCACGCCCAGACACTTGCAAGGTCCCTAACACTGGCATTCCAAGGACCCCAGGACCAGCCCTTCTCTTTGCCCCCCAACTCGCATGCCATGGGCATTAACTCACTGGAGACCATGCTCCTGGCATCAGGCTCTGTCCCCAAGGCTTGAACCCTATCACCAAGAGCCAAGAGCAAGCCCTACCTCTGTCCTACACCTGGAGGGCCATCTCGCCGCTTAACTCTGCACTCAACGGCTCCTCCTAACACTCACCCCACCTGCCATCAGTAGAGCCACCTGCTGAAGCTCTCTCCCCACCAGCCTCTCTTCCCTACCCTGGTTCCCCAGCTTCTGCAGCCTGCTGGTGCAGCTCTGTCCCTAACCCCACCATCTCCACACAGGAGCAGGTGAACTGCCCAGAGAGGCAGATCCTGTCTGGGCAAGGTCAGCTGACGGCCCTCCCATTACTCATCACCACCACCATTTTCAGATCTGCCAGGCCACACTTTAGGATACAGACGCTGGCCTACCCGTGCACTGAATGTTCAACCCCATGTGGCTGGGCTAATTCCCTCCATGGGCTTCTGGGGAGTCCAGGGGACACTGACCCTGCCTCTTCAAGCAACCACTGCCTTCCTTATCCACCCACCAACAGCTACACATCCTCTGAGAAGCCTTCAGGCATGGAGACATCCAGCCCCCATCCTGTGATGTCCTCCTAAGGCCTCCTCCATCAGACACACATGCTCATGAGCAACAGGCATTATCCACGCAACATGTGCAAACAGGCAGGAGGGAAGGACAGAGGGGCAGACAGACACAAGGAAGAGGAGGAGAAGAGATGGAGCTCCATGCGGCCCAGGCAGCACTGGCTGTCAGCCTGCCAAGATCGGAGCTGTGGCTGCTGAATCCCTCTATGCACATGCTCTCTAGCCACTGAGAAAGGGGCCCAGGGATGTCAAGGTGATGTCACCAGCTACAGAGGAAACAGACGCATTACAGGGAGAGGGGAAGAGAGGACAGCTGCTCTGAAGCCCCTAACCTTCATCCTTCACTCAACGCATGCTCAAGGCCACCGTGATGAACTTGACTGCTCTGGAGTCAGTCTCCAAGAGCTACACACACCACCACCACCACCACCACCTGTCGCAGGGAAGGCAAAAAGAAGGAGGTAAATGCTGGGGTGCACCCAAGGGCTCCCACACAGCATCCCCAACTCACGGAGGCACGGGTTCTCTGTGAAGTCACTCAGGAACCTCTCACACTCCTCCTCTGCATTGCCACTGCCGCGACAGCTGCACCAGGGGGATATCACGATGCCCGTAGGGCTGGAGTCCACGTAGTTAGGAGTCATGTCAAAACCTGGCCGGGAGAAGGGAAGAACGGGAAAGCAGTGGGGCCTTGCCTCTGGACCCCAGACCCCCTTGTGCACACGCACACCCATGCATCCCAACGCACAATTCTTATTGAGCATTGCTATCCCAACAACTAACAGGGCTCAGCAGAGGGCACAGGGCTAGGCACAGTGAGGGGACAAGAGAGTGGAGGGGACACCCCAGCAGGTCCACACCCCAACTAGGGCAGAGAGGCACCCTGCTTTCTCCTCCACTGATGAGCAAGGGGGCCATGGTGAAGCCACAAGTTCACGGCCAGGAGGTATGGAACCCAGAGCGTGTGGGCACAAGCTGAGCCAATGAGGCACCTTCCCTGGGCCTCAGTCTGCTCATCTGTGAAATGCGAATGCTGACCCACACACCCTGTCCAGGTAGAGCATTGATCAAACTACTCGCGCAAACTGCTCAGCACAAATCAAACCAATGCAATCTCTTCTTACACAAAAGCTTTATAAAGGTTTCCCTTCCCCCAGGAAAAGGGGATGGGGCCTCTTCCTCTTTCTCCTCCTCCTCCTCCAAGCAGGGATGTCTTCCCTCAAGTCCCTCTCACAGCTCTTGGTCTGCAGTAGCAAAGGCCACGTTCAGGGTGCAGCGTACATGTGGAAGGGAAGGACTTACCGATCATGCCCGCATAGGAGCCCAGACAGGCCTGGTAATTGTCCCCGGGGCAGCTGGTGAGCGTCCGGTAGGAGGCCCGACAGTTGGCGTGGAAGTCGGCCAGCCGAGACCTGTGGCAGGAGGGGACATAATGAAAGAAACAGGAATTGCCTCTGGTGGCCTTCCCTGCCTCCTCTGCCTGAGGCAGGTCCCCCTGGGAGCTAGGGAGATTGGAAGGTGGACGGGGAAGTGTAGGGACTGGGGCCAGGGTTGGTGGCTTCCCAAGAGCCAGGCACAAGGTGCAGCTGCATGCCTTTTCCTCCTGAATCACACCCCCTACCCATGTCCATCACAGCATAGCAGTCTTACCACCTGCCAATAATCCCAACCCCAGCTGTTGCACAGGCATCCTGTGTGGTTCTAACGAGCCAGGCCCCAGCAGGCATTCCTGGTTGCCTTTGCTATGCCATGTCAGAGCCTGACCACCCCCTCTAGCCACTTCCTCCAAGACCACCAGACAGCAGCAGCCCACTCCTCTCCAGAAAACTGAAACCCGCCATCATCCACTGCATGTCCACCAGCATCCTAAGCACCTGTGCACAGCTCTTTGCCCAGCCAGGAGGTGCCAGCAGGCCCAGGCACGAAGGAAGGAAGAAAGGAAGGAAGGAAGGAAGGAAGGAAGGAAGGAAGGAAGGAAGGAAGGAAGGAAGGAAGGAAGGAAGGAAGGAAGGAAGGAAGGAAGGAAGGAAGGAAGGAAGGAAGGAAGGAAGGAAGGAAAGGAAACGAAAGGGAAGGGAAGGGAAGGGAAGGGAAGGGAAGGAAAGGAAAGGAAAGGAAAGGAAAGGAAAGGAAAGGAAAGGAAAGGAAAGGAAAGGAAAGGAAAGGAAAGGAAAGGAAAGGAAAGGAAAGGAAAGGAAAGGAAAGGAAAGGAAAGGAAAGGAAAGGAAAGGAAAGGAAAGGCAGGAAGAGGGGAGAGAGGAAGAGGGGAGGGAGGAAGGGAGGAAGGGAGGAAGGGAGGAAGGAAGGAAGGAAGGAAGGAAGGAAGGAAGGCAGGCAGGCAGGCTCAGGAATGGCTGATGTGGCCATTTAGGGGAATGGGGAAAGTTGACCAGCAGATGGAAACTCTTTCCCTCTGCCTCCCATCAATATGCCTTTTAAATAAATAAAATCAATAAATTTTATTTTTAAAATGGTTAAAAGGGTCGATTTGATGTTCATGTATTTTGCCACAATTATTTTCTTTTAGATTTATTTATTTTTATTGGAAAGGCAGGTTTACAGAGAGGAGAGGAGAGAGAGAGAGAAATCCTCCATCTGCTGGTTCACTTCCCAAGTGGCCGCAATGGCTGGAGCTGAGTCGTCCAAAACCAGGAGCTGGGAGCTTCTTCTAGGTCTCTCACACAGGTGCAGGGTCCCAAGGCTTTGGGCCATCCTCTGCTGCTTTCCCAGACCACAAGCAGGGAGCTGGATGGGAAGTGGAGCCGCCAGGACATGAACTGGCACCCATATGGGATCCTGATGCTTGCAGGTGGAAAGGCAGATTTACAGAGAAAATGAGGGGGAGAAAGTTCTTTCATCTACTGGTTCACTACCCTAGTTGTTGCAATGGCTGAATCTGAGCTGATCTGAAGCTAGGAGCCAGGAGCTTCTTTCGGGTCTCCCCCGTGGGTGCAGGGTCCCCAGACATTGAGTCACTCTCTATTGTCTTCCCAAGCAGGGAGCTGGATGGGAAGTAGAGCAGCCATAGTGTTGCTCAGAGGTGGAGGTTTAGCCAGTTGAGCCAAAGTACTGGCCCCCCCAAAGGTAAATTTCAAAAAGGAAGCTACTCCCTATTAATAAAGTGGCATTAAGATTGTCATTATGCAGGTTGGCACAGTTGTGTAGCAAAATCAGCCTCCGCTTGCAGGACTGGTATGCCCGTTGGGAAAACCCTACGATCCCTGTGTGCCACCTTCCTCCTTCTCACATGCCCACCCACTTTTTCCCAGAAGCTCACCTGGCACCCATCACACTCTGGGTGAGCCCTGAAGGTATCCATGGGCAAAGGACCGTGGCTAGAGCCACTGGACCCCAGCTGACTGAAGCCATCAGCCAGACCCTAAACCCCATCAAGGATCCAGAACAGTGGGTCCAGAGGGTCTGGGTGAAGTGAGACCAACCCAAGCCCTCTGGATTGCCACCATGGACACCGGAGGTAGGCACTAAGGTCACCTACAAGAGACACTGCTGGACACACCTCTTCATATCCTCCAAACACAGGTGTTGGGCATGCCCTCTCATCTCCATTTCCCCTATCCCTTCACCAGGTTCCAAACCTATTATTACGCAGTAAGAAAGAAAAGAATTAAATGTATGCATCATTTGATTTTAATTGAAGGACTGTTCTATTTCATTGAACTGCTAAGTAAGCTGAACAAGAGATTGTGTTTACATAAGCAAACCCCAAGTCACTATAGACTTGCTGTCACATTAAGTCAATACTTATGAAGGCTCTCTATTTAATTATTCAGTGAGGATTGACTTATTATTGTGTTAAGACTGTGGTTAGCCTTGAGCTAGGTGGCCAGCCAGCTGAAAGATTTCTTTCAACTTTCTCTGAATGCTGATAGGGTTCTGGTTGGTGGTTCAGGTTGGGTTTCTTTCCTCCTTCCCATTCTCCCCACCCTGAGACCCTCCCTTCTGCTACAAAACACCATGCCAGAAGCAGCTGGTCCACCTCCCTCCAAGTCATCCTAAGATGAAGCATTTCTCTTACGATCCCATTGCCCAAGTACCATTCTCAACCAAGTTTTAGTCTTTATACCTGATGCTCGCCCCGCCATCTGAGGACCTTCTCCCTCACCCCAAGTCTTGCAGCAGCACCGATGATTCCCCCACCACAATGTTTCATGTCATCTTGATTCTGGGCTGCCTTCCGCCTGCCAGGAACACATCATGCAAACTTGTCTTTCAGTAAACCTCTTCTACAGAACCCTGCCTATACACACCTGTTCCAGACATGTTTCTGAGATGTCTCACCCCCAACTTGGAGCCACACTTTGCAGGCTCCAGTTACTACACTGCCTCACACCAGCACCATGATCTTGTATCTTTCATCCTATCTCTCCCTTTAAACTGCAGATTCTTTCAGAACAGAAACCATCTTGCTCATGTCTGAAACCTCAGTGCCCAAAAAAGTGATCTACACCCAATGAGGACTTGGCAACCACTAGATGGAGGGGAAGGAAAAGAAGGGAAAGGTGGGTGGCTGGATGAGCAAAAGCTGGAGGTGCACAGGCAGGCAGATACATAGGTGGATGGGTAGGTAGCTGGGTAGATGGTGGATGGGTGAGTTAATGAATAGGATGGAGGGATACATGAGTGGATGGATGGATGGATGGATGGATGGATGGATGGATGGATGGATGGATTAATGTGTGGATGGATGGAGGATGGATGGTTGAATAAGTAGGGGTGAACAGATGAAGGGATGGATGGATGAGTGGATATAAAGATGGATGGTAGATGGGGTGAATAGACAAATGGTTGGACGAATATGTGGGTGAAAGATCAAGTATGAGGGTGAGTGGATGAATAAGCAGATGGAAGGATGGATGGGTGAGTGGGTTGGTGGATTAATGTGTGGGTGATGGGTAGGTGAGTGGATGGATGGATGGATGGATGGATGGATGGATGGGATGCTATACCTGGAAGCATGGAGACCTTCCCCGTAAGCAGCGAAAAGCCTGAGAACTCTAACATATTTCCTTGAAAATACACAACTACAGGCACCCTCCTAGCTGTCAGCCCACAGATTCATCCCTGGCACACTCATTTGGGCCCGAGGACAGCTCAACACTCACTTTCCCCTCTACATGAGACCATCGTTCATCCTTCCACCCATGCTGCCCGGTAGCTGTTAGGACCTTGGGAAACAACTGTGGCTATTGCCGGTAATAGCATTTGCTGAAAGAGGCCGCAGTGGCCTACAGAATTAACACACCTCCTTAAGCAGCACTCTAAGTGTGAGCAAGTGCCTTGGGGACCTACAGAGGCGAGACCAACAGGTCCCTGAGGAGCAGGGCTGAGAAAAGCGTCCTTCTGAGACCAGTGGACATGCACAAGGAGATGGGGACAGGGCATGGGATTTGAGTCCCAAACATCTGCTTGCCTCCTGAGCTCCATAACCTGAGAATGTCACAACCCCTTTTGTGACTGTGTGTCTGGCACACCCACTCAGTACAGTGTGTGGAGGGAGACCAGACCAACCCACACCTGCAAAAACACCTTCTAGAGACAGGAATCTGGCATACGCCAACTGAGCATCTTTCCTCTTTACATGCAAGAGGACGCATGCAACAGTCCCACCACACTGATTCCCAAAATCAGTTGACCTGAAGGGCTGTAGGGCAGGGACTGGAAACAGATGTGGACAGAGTGGACTAGAAGCCTGCACACCACAGCCCTAGACCTGCCAGAAAGCAGGAACAGCCAGCAGAGCAGTCTGGCCCCAAGGAAAGCACTGGGGTGGGAGCTCCCATCCCATGCCCCAGACTCCATTCCAGAGTCAGCCGTGTCAACACCAATTTTTGCCTATCAGGCAGCTAGCTGAGCAGCTCTGCAAGCCCTCATCCTCTCCCTCATTATATAGACTAAAGGGCGCCCAGCACATCTCAGTAGCCGCCATTCATCAGGGCGACATCTATTCTAAGTGACATTTTCCCTCAGCTAACAAAGCCAATGTCGCCAATTTCAGCACTTCATTCAGAAATTAATTAGCGAGCCCCTTACTGGCCAGTGCGTCCCTGGGGAGATCCTCCTCCCACCTAACTCTGGGTGTGTGTGTGTGTGTGTGTGTGTGTGTATGGTGGGGGTACACCTGTGCCACAAGCCCAGGAAGGGAGCGACGGTGACAACGACAGGAGGAGAGCGGAAGCGTAAGCTACTGCCTCGCTGGAGCATGTAAGACCAGATTATTTGTGGTCCCAACTTGCTGATGCAAGATGAAAAATACAGCAAACCGCGGCTGCTGAACTCAGCTTTTTTTTTTTCCCGTATTTTCTTCCTCCTTCCCCCTTCGCTGAGGTTAGTGTTTTACAAAAAGAGTGTTAAGAAAAAATAAAATCTATATGCTAAGGAATTCCAGACTGCC